GTCATACAACTTAAGTCAATGGTCTTGACGTTCGAAGCCCATTGGGCCTTGAGGCCCAAAACTAACCCGAGGTCTTTAACGAACTTTATTCGTTTGATTAATTAACATATTAATTAATCATTACCATAAATAATTAAACCATTTAATTATCCTTACTCATCTTCGTTGTTTCTTCAATCTCTACCTTACACGGTGTACGATCCATTAGGTTCCTTTTAGCGAGGCAATGGGCAATTAGAACTCTTTCAAATCGATTGTGAATTGAAACTTACTTTCAATTCTCCCTTTAGTGTTTATACACGTTTAGGGCTTCCACAAACCATGAGTGACACCTAGCAGTATGTCATGGTTACCCAAGGTAATCAGAAGAGGTGGAGAACCTATTCAGTTTAGGATTACAATGCAATACGGTCTTTCTCTAATACAATACTCTTGACCACATTGTTTGGTTTGATAGTTTATTCATGTCTACTATCCAATGTGATTCATTTACTTATATGATTACTTTGAATGTGATTTGAAATGACTTCCTAAATCTTATTCATACTCTGGCCAGAGATTCTTAATCATATCATAGAGTATTCTCCCTCAAACGGTTTGAAGGTTAGAGATCCCTTGTTGCGCATTCATTTGCCTCCATGGCTAAGTGGCTTAACCCCAACTATGCCGTGGACACCTCTGACAGAGTGACTTTGACATAGTCAAAGATCAAGGACTTTACCACAAGACAACTATGATGCCTCAGGTCAAAGGACTACTTTGCATTATCCCAACCATGAGTTCTCATGTGACATGAGTATGAGAACTCCTCGTTGATCGTGTTCAGTGGACTCATTCTCTATTGAGCACCTACATGCTTGTCTTGGTGTCAATCACACCAATGACTCGAGACCAGTCACTCTCCCTGAGAGAAGACACAACACGTACTAATCTTAACGGACTGTCAATGCCCAATTGACAATCCTATGATCAGGAACGTTTAGGATATGTATATGAAAGAGAATGGTCTCATGAATCTAACTTCTTTAAATTACATTCTCCTAATTACATATTCCTTGGACTTATCGTTTAAGCATATAACATTTATATGAGACCCTTAAAACAATAATCTTTGCCCTTGATATTAAACTAGATTAGTTTAACATGTGAAATGTCCGTAAAGTATCATCATATGATTGGTTTTAGGGCACATTTCCAACAGAAACAAATAGCTAAGAGGAAAAAAAAAATGATTGTTCACGAGATGGAATTGGAATAACGAGGCAGATAATCATGTAATCACTCAGTTCGGAGCTTTTTGTTCTCTTGCATCAAATTTACAGCGTCGTGATCTTTCCGCTAGTCTCCAGTAGGACTCACTAGCTACAAAAAAATAAAACGCATAAAAACAAGGAAATCAGAGACAATATTTTCATTCAAAAATCTTGAGAGCAAACACATATCTTAACAGACTAGAAGGACCATGATTACACTGGCTAACACATAAATACCAATGAGTATTACATTTATTTCTAAAGATTCAAATTTGATAGCTTAAAGCCTTAAGCTACATCTATACTAGGGGCAATTTCCAAATATGCACATGCAATGGGAGAGTTCTCTAGTCTTGCAAGGTGAATGATGTCACTTTACTTTTTGAAACCGAACCAAAATTGTTTGAAACCACACCAAATAGAAACCAAATGGTTTGTTTCCATTTTGGTTTTAGCATCAAAACCGCAGCGAATCAAACCAAACCACAAAGAATTTTGATTTCGGTTTCAGTTTCACCCAAGATCGCACCGAACTAAATAATGCCCACGCCTACTGTAAATCAATACTCTTGATAGTTTATTGATATCTACTATCCAACGTGATTCTATTGTTTATATGATTACCTTGAATATGATGTGGAACGACTTCCTAAATCTCAGTCATACTTTGACCAGGGATTCTTAATCATACCATCGAGTATTCTCCCTCAACAGTTTGAAGGTTAAAGATCCCTTGTTGTACATTTGTGTGCCTACATGACTAAGTAGCTTAACCCCAAGTATGTTGTGGACATCCTCAAATGGAATGCCATTAACATAGTTAAAGATTATTGACCTAACCTCAAGACAACTATGATGTCTTAGGTCAAATGACTACATTGGATTATCCCAACTGTGAGTTCTCATGTGACATGAGTATGAGATCTTTTGTTTGATCACGTTTAGTGAACTCAATCTTTATTGAGCACCTACATAATTGTCTTGGTGTCATTCACACCAATGACTTGTGACCAAACAATCTTATCCGGATTGTCTATGCCTAATCAGCAATCTATGGTTTGAAATTTTTAGGATATGTGTATGAAAGAGAAATGTCTCTTGAATCTAATTTCTTTATATTACATTCTCTTAGTTACCTATTCCTTGACTTATTTTTTCAGCATAGAACATTTAATGAGACGGCTCTAAAAATAATCTTTACCCTTAGATTAAACTAGTTTAGTTTAATGTGTGAAATGTCCGTAAAGTATCATCTTATGATTGGCTTTAGGACACATTTCCAACATGTACTTGTGTGGAGGGTGATTCCAAACTCGTTATTGATGCGGTTTAGGGCCTTTGCGATGTTCCTTGGAGACTTATACCACATCAAGGACATTCTACGATTGACTTCCTCTTTTAGTTTGATCCAATGGACTCATATTTTTAGAGAAGTAAACATTGTAGCTAATGCCATTGCGTTTGCAGGCCTTTCTTTCCAAATATCCATAGCTGGGATAAATATGTTCCAAATGTGCCCTATAATGCTCTTTTATTTGATTTATTGGCACTGATTATACTAGAGGTTTTTGGCCCCACCTGATTGTGGGTCTAGTGTTGAAATGGACAATGTACTTGGAGTTCTAGCTTGCAACCAATAACAAGAGGAGAAGTTTTTCAGTGTACCAAGAATACAATACAGTACACAAGTATCATAATACAATTAATTGAAATTTTGTTTTTTTTTTCAAATTTCAACCAATTGTATTATTATATTTGGTGTACATGGCCTTGTTCCAGGCACATTGAAAAATCTCGAATCAAAGAGCATACGTCCATCACCATTTCTCTGTCCAACCAAACAAGAGACTTTTCAGTGTGCTCGAAACTCAGATACATATGTCATATATCATTATACAAGTTGAGGGATGATGAGTCCATTTTATACTATATATTTTCCCCTATTCTTGGTATATTTTGGTGAGATTTTGATACTTTATTATGTATTTTCAATGTAGGACATGCGAATCCATTTTAGGTATAAAGTCAAACGGTGGAATTTTTGAGTGATTCCAATTGGAACGGGTTTGTGAGTCTGTTAAGAAAGTTGTGTCAAAATTTCAGAATTTTATCCCAAAGCATCTAATTGTGGCGAATTAATTTGTGCTCAGTGCGTGGTGCTGGGAGATTGGGCTGCAGAGCTTATTTGCGACTTTTGGGCTAGAAGATGATGCATTTTGGACTTGGGCTCTTTTAGGAACTTGAAGAGGAGGTTCTAATATTTGATTCGTTTTGGGCCCATTTTGGAGCCCTAAAGGTCCAGAAACGTGGCTATTTTCTACTGGACAGATTTCCTGGTCAGATTTGGTGTCTGTTTTTAAGTTATCTTTTTATTATTTTGCTTCCTAGTTTATCGAGAACGTTTTCTATAAGGGATTTTAATGTGTAGTATTATGAATAAGACTTTTTAGAGAACTTAACAAAGTTTTGGAGAATTTCAGACTTTTTACCTACAAGGTGTTTTCAATCATTTTCTAGTTAATGGTATTTTCTTTGGTTTTCATTATAAGTATGCGTAACTAAATCCTTCTGTTATGAGTCTCAGCATGAATATGTAATTTTATTAGTTTGCTTATGAATGGATGCATGTTTGCTTTGAATTATTAATCATCGTGTTACTACTATCTAATTGTCTTAATGTTTAGCTACAATTAGGGTAATTAGACAAGTAATTTGATGCAATTTCTGTTGGAACATCACCCCGAAATTGAGGAGGGCTTCTTGTGATTAGTAATTGTAAGTTCACTTAAGGCAAACATCACGCTCTTAAGGGTTGCATGGTTATTCAAAGAATTTTCACAAAATTTAATGAGTCTTGCATGTTTATATTTGATCTGAACATTACAGACGGGTTGCATGTTAGATTTATGTTTTCGCTTGAACATCACAAAGAAAATATATATTAGAAAAACCTAACCTTTAAAGCACGTATGTGGAAATTCATAAGTGATTGGTAAAATTGCATAGTATTGTTAATGATGATGGCGGAACCGTAGTCTTTCTCATAATTATTTTAATTTAAAAACGTTTTCCTTCTTGCTGCCATTATTTCCAAATTTTTAGATTTTTTATTGTTAATTTAAGCTTTTAAAATAAAAAATTCTTAAATCTTTGATAAAATCTGTTTTGAATAATTAATTAAGAATTAGTTTAATTTTAAATTAGTCAAACAATCATGATAGAGAATGATCTTGCATGAGCGCTTATATTATAATTTTATTTTTTACATTTCTAAGTATTTTACGTGATTTTAACTCTATTTGCATATGTACTTAAAATTCTATCAAGGAACACTTAAAAAAAACTTTTGTTCACTTAAATTATAACATATGACGTATCACCACGTGTTCAGATCAACTTGAAAAATCTCTCCATTCAGAACTAGATCCCCTTCGGATCCAAAAAGATTTGAGCCCACTAATCAATGCATCTGAGCCATTACAATTTGATTCAACTGCTACAATTATTATAATTTTTAAAAGGACTTCCTATTTATAACCGTTTTATCAAATTTCAATAGTCCGGATACATTAATTAATGTGCCGAAGGGGATCCAGTTCCCCAATCAGACGCTATGTTCTCTTCTGCTGGGACCACTTGTCTGTGGGCCGTCCTCCTTCCTGAAATTGACTATATATAAAATAACCCCAAACACTTCTTTGCCCTTCATAAAATTTACATTTCTCCTGTTGTGTTTGTGTTTCTAAAATGGCAGACTATGGTGCTGGTGGCGGTGCAGCAATTTCTCTTTCACAAGCCTCTGCCGACGACTCGGAGCACAGCCCCAGGAGCCTCCCCACACTCACCGGAAGCGCGAGTGGAGGAGGAGGATGTTCGTCGTCCAGGCACAAGAACATGGTATCACCGTCGGGTGAGATTATCATCTCAAACTCAAAGAAACCGAGAGGGAGACCGCCGGGGTCCAAGAACAAGCCCAAAGCCCCGATTGTCATCACAAAGGACTCGGAGGCAGCGATGAAGGCGGTGGCCCTCGAGATCTCCGGCGGGTCCGATGTGGTGGAGACGATTGAACAGTACGCTCGAAGGCACCACGTCGGGATCAGTGTGTTGAGCGGTTCAGGGACGGTGTTGAGCGTCACGTTAAGGCACCCAGCTGGGCCCCATGCCCCGTCGCTGTCTCTTCAGGGGCCCTTCAACCTCCTCTCTCTCTCTGGTTCTTACATAGACTCCTTCCCGACCATCATCACTTGCTCTTCTTCTCCTGCCGCCGGAAGTGCTGGTGGTGGTTCAGCGAATGTACCGACGTCCGGGACTTGTTCACTGCTGGCTTGTGCATCGTTCGGGATATGTCTTGCGGGGGCGCAAGGGCACGTGTTTGGAGGGATTGTTGGGGGGAAGGTTGTGGCGGCGGGTACTGTGATCGTTGTGGCCGCCACGTTTCAGAATCCGACGCTTCAGAGGTTGCCTTTGCCTGTTGAAAGTGGCGACTGCGGTGGCGGTGAGTATGATCGAAGGTGATGAGGATTCTAAGCCTTTCATTAATGAAAATAGTTGTAGTCATGCTTACGGCGTCGGCGGCGGGTGTAGTAGTTGTTGCGAGTCCAACGCCGCTCAGTTTCCGGATGAACACTAGCCCTGCTGGTCATCATCATCAAATCATGGCCTGGGGTCCTCCATCTCGATCTCCTTACTAAGAAAAACAATTGAAATATCAAATATTTTCAAGATAGAATTAATTAATTCATAATGCCTTGTTTAGTTAGACGTAGTAGCAGCTGCCTCTTATTTCCTTTATGACAATTTGGTAGCAACATATTATTTTTAGCAGAAGTGTCTTGTCTCTCTCTGTCTCTCAAGGTAATTTTAATTTTAGTACTTGGGTTTTGTTATTGAGGAATGAGGAGGATACTTAAAAATGAATACCTGCATGTAATTTTAGTTCCCAAGCTTAATTAGCTAACTAAGCTTTATTTTATTGTTAATTAATTACCATGTTCCCTAATTTCTATCGTCCTCTTTGAGTCTTTGGTGACAAGGGATATTGTTTATTGGACAAGAAAAATGAGAAAATATTTGCAAGTTGGAACAATATTTCTTTGTTTCCAGTCATCTTTCTTCTGATGAGATAAATAATTGGTTACAACAAATTTAGCATTATAGTTTAGGAAGCATGGCATACGTCTCTTTCTTATTTTACTGTATGTGGGGCAAGTTTCTTTGTAACTGAGAAATTGAGGATGTTAATTAAGATTCATATACAGTTTAACTCTTTTTCTCGAGTGTACCTGTGTTTTTTGGACCTAGATTGTCTGCTTCCCCATCTCATATCATTCTCATCCCCTTCTATTTTTGTGGATACGGTTAAGGTACGTCAACATTTTATATTTTCATTGCTTTTTGTCTTATTATTTCTATAAAAAAATTAATATAAAATGTTAACGTGACTTAATCATGACCACATAAATAAGAGGGAGGGGATGAGAAGAGTATAGGATGGGCAGGTTAGACAATCCAGGTCTGTGTTTTTTTTAGACTCGAGGGTGTACCTGTGTTTTAGTCACTAGAGTTAATGAAAGTTAGTTTTAAAATTGTTTTAGCCGTTAGAGTTACTGTTTAAATATTTTTTAATAATAACGATTCATAGTAATATTGAAGAAAAATTACTCTTGTTCGTATATGTAATCTCCTTTTTCCTTAGTTTTTCTGTTGGACAAACTAAAAGAAAAAATAAAGAAATATCAATAATGGAACAATCAAACAAAAAGAAAACGAGATTGAAAATTACTTAAATGTTTAAAGTCTCCTTTAGTTGAGTTTTAAGGTCGTAGACGTACTAGTTTTAAAAAATTTCCTCGGGCATATAGATATATAAGAATCCTTTAACAAGAGGGATTCCATTTTTCTAAAAAAATAAAGATACCTTCCTGATCGTTGGATTTGATTTTAATGAAATTGTGTGGTTGAGATTATATGACCTGTGATTTAATCTCAGCCATACAATTTCATTAAAGCCAATTCAACAGTCAAGAGGGTGTCCTCATTTTCTTTAGAAAAATTGGGATCCTCTTGTTAAAGGGCTTGATATATATATATATATATATATATATGAATCATTTTAACAAGAGGGATCTCCATTTTTCTAAAAAAATGGTGACAATTTCTTGATTGTTGGATTTGACTTTAATAAAATTGTGTGGTTGAGATTGTGTGGCATGTGATTTAATCTCAACACAATTTCATTAAAGCCAATCTAATAGTCAAGATGGTGTTCCCATTTTTTTAGAAAAATGGGGATCCCTATTGTTAAAGAGCTTATATATATATAACCAGCTAAAACTATGTCGAAACCGAATTGAAAAAATGATTGATCAGAAAAATTTTGTACCTGAAATTGAACTAAATCCAAACATGCTGTATGGGAATCAGTATGAACCCTTGGTTCTTTCGGTACATAAATTATTACAACCATCGTATTTGTTGAGATTTAATCTTGACCGTTGAATGTAAATCAAGACTAAAGAGTTAAATGACAATTTGCCTAATCACTAGTGTGGAGCAAAACATAATTCTAAAAGTCCTGGAGGCGGCACGTAGACTTTTTCCCGAAGAACACGAGATTGCCTTCATTAAATAAGCAAGGCCCATAAATATTCTCACACACAGCTCAAGATCCTTGGAAGCTCGAGCAGCTGCGTATGACATCACCAAGCTCCCCTACTCACGACATGAAAAAGTCAAAGGCATTAAAGGTATGATTAATCACCAAATCTCATCTTTAATACATTCCTGATTAAAGATCAATTCAAACAAGTAAGCAATTAGGTACAATCAATCAAGGATACTTGATAATCCTAGTATATTATCTCCTAATTAATAACTTTGGGATAATTGTTTCCTCATCCATCGTATAGATGACACACCATGGCCAATAGGAAACCGCCAATGGGAAACCGTCACATGTAGGGCAAAATCCTACCATGGCCAGCCACCTCTTTATAAATACCTTATCTTCACCATTTACTGGTAAGATTTTTCCACGCACTTAAGCCCTAAACACTCACTTTTTCCAGAGTTACTGACTTAGGTTAGGCATCAGAGATTCATTGGCCAAATCTCCCACCTTATGGATGTGTGAGGCTTTGACCTTGATTAAAGATATTTATTGTTTTACAAGTACAAATTCGTCAACACTGAAGATGGTGGATTTTTTTCTACCACAAATTGGTGATTTCATTCAGAACCCGATTTTACGCTTGTAAAAAGCTCTTGCATTCACTTTCAAAATTTTCTATTACGTTGAATTTCACACATGTAGTGTCATCGAACTTTTTTAAAGTTCCTTGATCAATCCCTAAAGAAAGGATATAATAATAGGAAATTTTGGAACCACAACGAACGACACTACCTACGTATCTGGGGTTTCACTCACATGACTGGTCACGAAGTAACCTCTACAGCCATCACCCCTACCACTGTTGCAGCCATGGGTGCAACCGAGTGAGCCTAAGGAGCGATAATTACAGCAGAAATCCATGCTTCAAGAGGACCAAGGAGTGTCTCAGTGTGAACTCCAAAAGCTTGATTTATCGGTATAGAGGCCAAGGCGTCCAACCCAAACCACGGCGTCCAGGAGTAGGAAGAAATAATTCCCGGCATGCAAGCCTAAAAGCAGTGTGTGACCAATGTAATCTCCAATCCATGCAGGCCTAAGACCATAAAGCCCATGGAGATATCCATGCAGCAACCTCCTTGGCGCGTCTTAAGCCAAGAGCTAAGCTCAGAAGCAATGCATGAGCTAAGCTCAGAAGCAATGCATGAGCAAAAGCAATGGGCCCTAGCTCCAGTGCAAATCCCAAGTCCTTCAACACTTGCCTTAGGCATATAGCTTTCACATGCCCAATCCACTGCAATAGAAGGCATCTCCCACACATTGGGATCAACGACCAATTAAACACTATCACGAGATTAACAATAGCTGCTATAGCAGCCTACACGGGTGCAACCCCAACAACAATCTCCCAGGCCCATTCATGCACCAACCCAGACACCAACAATCTATGTGAGTAAGAAGCATGCTTCAGAAGCCCTATTACATGTGAAGCCTAGCATAGATAGACCATTCCTTGCCGCAAGCCTAGCGTGCAGCTCCAATAGGCCAACCCGCTTTAGTGCTTGCATGCCCGACCAAGATCTGCACCCTTTGCGCCTAGATGAGCCCACATGTTGGCCCTTGAAACTCGAGAATAGGAACTAGCTAATGAGCGTATCCTTCCCAAGCCTAAGGCTTGCGAACCCAGCTCAAGGGGCTTATTGTCCACTACACTTCTATCACTCACGAGGATGCTCATCAGGCGACTCTTTTATTCCAAATGACGATCTACACCTATCCCAACGGGTTTCTGACTTAACCAGGGCCTTCCCGTAGTAGTCCACTTTAGTGAATTAACTCATCGAGCACATCAAAATGTATCACTCTTGACAAGGTGTCCAGAAACAAGACACGAATTGAAGATGATATTTCTCCTGTCTTAGTGTGTTAAGAAGTGTTTATTCCCAGTAAAACCCGCATGCAAGTGTGCGTGCATGGTTAGGTCCACGCTTACAAACACTCAAGATCTATATCAGGCGCATGTGTCTATTTGCAACTTGGCTTATAGGCATTTCTTCCAACCTTACACTAGAGCAGGCAGCACAAGCAACATGAAGAAACTCAAAGACACTTATGCTTAAATTCAACTAGCATCAATGCTAAGCGCAATCATTACGAATGACGTGTACTGCAGTCGCGACAAAGATAAACAGACCACCAGGAAAAGTAGGATAGACTTGCAAACCACCGCCGAAGGCAGCTGAGGTGTAATTGCCCCAAGGAAGGCAAATCTAGAAGGAAGTAGAATAACTTATTCTCAAGTCTAATTGGCACTCAATGACAAGTGCAATCATGAGAAGCTCGCTCACCAGCACGATGCGAACAATCAAACCATTGGGAATAACATCACAGACCTGTAGACTACTCTTGGAGGCAGCCGAAGGCACTATCGCCCCAATATAGGCAGATCCAGGAGAAAGTAACGGTCATTCCACACCGACAACTTGGCAAAGGCTTCATCTGAAAGTATAAGACGAAGCTCGGCATCGTCAAATGCACATTTGGAATCTCTTTCAGGCAGATTCTTAGGGTACCTTATGACCCAACGAGAAATCAAAGCACATCCAAGGTAGATCTAAGCAATCTAGGATTTGGAGTCTCCCACTACCCCGAAGGAGATTTAGAGTCTGATCGGATGAGCAGCAACACTCAACCATTTCTTTTTGCAGTTTACCCATCAATGCAATATCTTTTTTAAGGCAATTAGGGATGAGTACCTCGTGCAAAAAGATGTTCTATGACTTGAAGAAGTACCTGGTTTAACCTCTTTTACTATCCAAGTCATAAACAGTGGAGGACTTATACACCTACTTGGTAGTATCTGAAGCAGTTGTGAGCTCTACCTTCATACGAGAAATGTTAGGGGCCTGACTACCTGCATTCTATAGCTTAAGAGCTATCCTCAATGCGAAAAATAGATTCCTGAAATTTAAAAAGCTAATTTTGGCGCCAGTCATTGCAACCCCGAAAGCTTAAGCTGTACTTTCATGGGCACATAGCCCTTGGCATTACACAGTATTCCTCACAATCCAAACTCGCAAACGATAAAGGTGCAGACACTAGCAGATGCAAATTTAACTTTCACTCTAATGAACGTAGTAACTTAGCTCGAAGGCATGTCGGGGGCAAATGAGCACTAGAAGAACGCACATGTCTAACTTGCAAGAGAGTTCCTTCAACCACCAAGGATATGGAGTAGGCTTTGTCCTAATTACCAGGCAGTTTTATACATGGATAAGCCCAATGACGTCAGTTGAGCACCGCTTACTGTTGCGTATAGCACGACTCGGCAAACACTAGCTCTGCAACTCTCAGTTGCACTAACTCTATCCCTCGGCTCCCTACCTTGACGATCTATTACCACGGTTCCTCGATCGCGCCGAATCATGTTCCGCGACTGTAGGTCGTGCCAATTTGGTAGCCTCACTGCATTGTTTATGGCCATTTCCTTCTTTCACCCATATCATACGAACTCTAGACGAGATTGCATGTCTATATGTCTTATGTAAATCTAGAAACAGCTTAGCGAAATTGATCTTGATGTGAGCAGCCTTGAAGTAAAACACCTTATCGGAGAATCCACTCGGACGATATAAAGGCGGAAGATATTGCTCACCTTTTTTACTAGAGGGAGACATACTTGAAGAATTCCTACATGGAAGACATGAGAAAAATATTCAAAAGGTTGCTTAAAGAAAAAGCAAAAAAAACAAAAAAACAAAAAAAAAAAAAAGAATGGAGAGGACTGTAAAGCCCAACACCCACACACCAGGCTCTACGGCCCAACTCTTATTTTCTTGGCGTAGTAGCTAAATGGCCACGACCTTTTGTCTTGATCTAGCAAAGCGGCTCACACTCGTGCTTGTCCAACATATAAGCCATCGTGGCCCAATCCATCAGTGGGGGCAAAGGCCTCGAGCATTTCCTTCATTCCTCTTCACTAGCCCACGCCTAGCCAACCAGCCCAGCAGGAGGTTCAACCTGCGCTAGCCTCCCTTCTTGTCTCAAAGCACCCCAATGCCGACTTCCAAGCCTGAGCCAGCCTAAGCCATGGCTCCCTGTCACGTATCTCCTGGCCCTAGCCAGCCATCCCACCCCACCACCAATAGCAGCAGATTTGTTACCCTTCATGACATCTGCTGGCAATAGCACTAACCGAAAAAAAGAGAAAAAAAAAAGATTTTTTCAAATTTTCTGACCTTGGTGTGGCATGGAGAAGAAGAACAACAATGCGATAAACTCTTCACAAGCGCAGACAAAAAAGAAAACTAAGGGAGGGGGTACATTTTCCTCTAGCCTTTTCTCTCTATCCTGTTGGGATAAAAATTCTTGTGTAAACTTATTTAACCCCTTATTGGTTTCCCTTTTGTAGAAGACTTAAATTCCAAGTTAAAATGGAAAATTTACGTCAAATCAGGAAACAACTCTATGCTTGCCTGCTTAGCTTGGTATTTCTACGCCTACTGCCATTATATGTGTGTAACCTAGCATTTGTGGGGGTATTTGTGAAGCCTAGAATAATCCAGAAAATCCTTGAGACAACATATAGAATTTTTTCCGAAGAAGACGAGTTTTGCCTCATTAAAAGTGTAAGGCCCACAAATATTCCAACCTGAAGCTCAACATCCCTGGACGCTCGAGCAACTACCTACGACATCACCAAGCTCCCCTACTCATGGCATGAAAAAGTTAAAGACATTAAAGATATGATTAATCACCAAATCCTATCTTTAATACATTCCTGATTTAATACATATCCTAAACATTCATGATCATAGGATTGCCCATTGGGCATTGACAGTCTATTAAGATCAGTACATGTTATCTTCTCTTAGGGAGATTGACTAGTCTTGAGTCATTGGTGTGACTGACACCAAGACAAGTATGTAGGTGCCCAATAGAGAATAAGTCCACTGAACACAATTAACAAGGAGTTCTCATACTCATGTCACATGAGAACTCATGGTTGGGATAATCCAAAGTAGTCATTTGATCTGAGGCATCATAGTTGTCTTGTGGTTAGGTCCTTGATCTTTAACTATGTCAAAGTCACTCATTTAAAGGGTGTCCACGGCATACTTGGGGTTAAGCCACTTAGTCATGGAGGCAAATGAATGCATAACAAGGGATCTCTAACCTTCAAAGCGTTTGAAGGAGAATACTCTATGATATGATTAAGAATCTCTGGCCAGAGTATGAATGAGATTTAGGAAGTTGTTCCAAATCACGTTCAAAGTAATCATATAAGTAAGAGAATCACATTGGATAGTAGACATGAATAAACTATCAAACCAAACAATGTGGTTAAGAGTATTGTATTAGAGAAAGACCGTATTTCATTGTAATCCTAAACTGAATGGGATATCTACCTCTTCTGATTAGCTTGGGTAGCCATGATATACTGCTAGGTGTCACTCATGATTTGTGGAAGCCCTAAAGGTGTATAATCACTAAAGGGAGAATTGAAAGCATGTTTCAATTCACAATTGATTTGAAGAGTTCTAATCGCCCATTGCCTCGCTAAAAGGAACCTAATGGATCGTACACCGTGTAAGGTAGAGATTGAAGAAACAACGGAGATGAGTAAGAATAATTAAATGGTTTAATTATTTATGGTTAGGATGAATAATATGTTAATTAATCAAACGAATAAGTTCGTTATAGACCTCGGGTTAGTTTTGGGCCGCAAGGCCCAATGGGATTTGAATGTCAAGCCCAATAACTCAAGTTGTATGACAACTTGAAAACACAAAGGGCTTCAAAGCCCAATTAACCTGCAATGGCCAGCCATATTGGTGAGGGTAGCAAACTTGTATTAATTGCAAGTTTGCCACTCCATTGTGAGGTGTTATAAAAGGAACTTTATAGCCATTTCATCATAAGGGTTTTCTTTGGAGAAAAGATGAGAACATAAAGCTATCTTGACTCTCTAGGAGGCCGGCCACCCTAGGGAGAGATTACTAGCATCTATCTCTTCCTAGGTTACTCATCTCTTCATCAATGCTCTCCTTGGTATGGTGACTTAGAGGTTCTCTATTTTGGGAACTTGGAGAATCCATTCATCCATCCTCCTCCAAAAAATCCATGGAGCGAAGAAATAAGGAATGAAGGCCTTCTATCTTGGGTGATTAGCCTTTGCTTATGCAAGAGGAATCAACAAAGGTATAAGTTCTCAACTCACTTTGTTTTTAAGTTGAGTCTTGGTTCACCATAACTACTAGGCTTTGAATTTCATGGGTTAAGTTTTGTTTTTAAGAGCATACAAGCATGATTCCGCCTTTTAATTGTTAATAACATGCATAGATGTTGCTTAAATGAACTAGTTTTCACAAATATTTCCTTCATGAGTGGGTTCAATCAGGTCTTGAATTACAAGAACTTGAATTTGCTTAATTTGGAACAAGAAAGACTCGAAGGTCAGTCACTTAGGCCATCTCTAAACGAAGGAGGGTCAGATGGCTCGTTTTAGCCCTATAGCCACCAAACATAGCTCTGTGACAAAAAATCATCTCCAATTGAGGGGGCCAAAGGTTATAGGGCCAAACATAATTTATTATTTTGATTGAATTAAGATGGTTACTTAAATTAAACTACCTCGATAAGGAATCTCAATAATTGTACGTCTCAGATTTTGAGTGCCACCTGTCAATATTTGAGTGACTTTGCAGATTTCTTGTCGATAAGGAATCTCAATAATTTTACATCTCAGATTTTAAGTGCCACATGTCGAGATGTAATTGGTTGTAGTGATTTTACATAGGATTTTTATCTGCGTGGCATTTCTTATCTTTAGTTTCCAATGTCCATAAATAGGGTGGATATTGGCCTATAATTCACACACCTTCAGCTTTGCCTCTCCAATATCTTTCAATTCAATTTTGCAATGAATTTCAACTTTGGATCCTCTTCGAATTCCAACTGGGGTTCCTCATCCACTTCTCAATTAGAAGATAAATAGGCGCATATGAGGCAAGAAGATGATGTGTCCGATGAAGAAGATGGAGCATGGCGCAAATACATCATATATGGCAGCCATGTCTGGGGTCATGGCTTGTGAGGCAACTAAAGAACAACCTTAATGGGATGGCTCTATTGTTGATCATGGTTACAAGCCACGAAATAGAAAGATGGCATATCAGAATCTAATGAACAACTACTTCAACCCCAACTCGGTGTACAACGAAGAGGATTTCAGAAGTCGCTTTCGGATGAGGCGTCATGTCTTCAAGCGTTTACTTCATGATGTCCAACATGTCAATCTATACTTTCGACAGAAACTGGACAAAGCAGGCCACCTTGGTTTATCACCTCATCAGAAGATTACTATTGCACTCCGAATGTTGGCCTATGCCTCCCCAGTTGATGCAATGGATGATACATATGGTATGTCTGAGTCTACAGGCCTTGATAATCTTACTGAATTCTGTCAAGCAGTTGTTCAACTTTACAAAGAGGAGTACCTCCGTCAACCAAATCAAGCAGACCTAAAATGGTTTTTTCGCAAAGCTGAAGACAATGGCTTTCTAGGCATGGTAGGGCCGTTAGATTGCATGCATTGGTAGTGGAAGAACTATCGCACCAGATGAAAATAAGGCTTTAGCGGAAGATCGAGAAAGCCAACAATTGTGTTAGAGGTCGTTGAGTCATTTGACACTTGGATCTGGCATGCTTTCTTTGAAGTCCTAGGTTCCCAAAATGATATTACAGTTCTTTGGCATTCACCCCTCTTCAATAACCTGACGGAGGGCAAATCACCTCAACTTGACTACTACATCAACGAGCATCAGTACAACATGGGGTATTGCTTGGCAGATGGCATTTACCCAAAGTGGGTGACACTTGTCCAAACAATTGCAAACCTTGTGGATGATGCTGAAAGGTGGTTCACCTTACACCAAGAGGCATACCGGAAAGATGTTGAGAGAGCTTTTGGTATTCTACAAGCACGATAGAAGATAATTAAGGAATTGGCAAGAGGGTGGAGTCGAGAAAACTTGAACTCCATCATGATGTTTTGCATCATATTACACAACATGATTGTGGACGATGAACGAGATGGGTATATTGATGGAGAGTCTGACGACAACCAAGAGGATCCAAATAGGTTAAGAAGGGCTCGTGCAAAAATATATGATGGGCCTAATTTGCCTTTGAAACCAAGAACTGGTAATATCTCTTTAAATGAGTACATGAGGCACCATAGGATGATATGTTCCCGTGCCACAAACAAGTACCTACAATAGGATCTTGTTGCACATCTTTGGGCCAAAAGAAGCATGGAGTAGGCGTTTAAGTTTTATGTTGTCAAATGTTTGTTTTAATGTTGTTTAAGTTTCATGTTGGTAAATGTTATGTTGTATAAGTTTTATGTTGTTTAATGTTAGTTAATGTTATGTAAGGTTGTTTAATATTGTTTAATGTTGTTTAATGTTGCTTAATGTTATTTAATGTTGATTAATGGCTTAGGTAGTTAAAGGAATATTTTTAATATAATGGCTAGTTGACTTCAACAACTAGTCGTTGGGATTCAAACTTCTGGACCGATCAGGGCTGGCTGGGTTGGGCCAGCCGGTTGGCCCGATTCTTCTTTTGTGGTCCAATGGGGCCCACGAGCCCTTTGGCCTAGCCTTTGGTTGGAAATAGTTTTCGTGTCATTTAGGGTTATTTTTTGCCCTATGGCCCTCTGGCTGGATCGGTTGGAGATGGCCTTATGTACGACTTAATAGTGGTTTTCATTGAAAATTGGGTAGCTATGTGATTAATTAATTTTGAATTGGATATGTGATTGAAAATTTGGTATCCAGTTTAGAGTTTTGAATTATTTGGATATGTGCTATTTTGAATTGGAATTTCGGCTATTTTTAGTTAGAGTTTGGGTATGCCCTAGTTTGAATTGCATATGTGACATCTGCTATGTTGAGTTCGATATATGCTGAATTGATGGTTGTAATATGTTGAATTGGATATATACTAACTGTTGGTTGTGATTATTATTGGGCATTGTTGAGCATGAACCGAACCGAAGGGGGCAATTTTCACAACCTTGAACTAAGTTCTAACGAACTATATTTGTAACCTAACTTGTTGCTTTGTGGTTTATAACTTAATTTATTTCATTTTGGATCGTAACTTAATTAGTTGTTTTTAGGTATTTGTTGCACGTAATTTTAACTTAAGTAGTTTGCTAGTATAGAGATCGTAATTTAGTACCCTAAATTGTGCCAATTTTTTGGAGCTAAGTGGCAAAGTGTAAAAATGCATAAAAATTGCCAAAACTAAGGTTGTACTTGTAAACTAAGATTGTAGGACTAATCATATGGATTTTTAACCAAAATAGTCCCTACTTTTTGCATAACTCCTTACTTTGGTTTTTAACAATGAAAATTGATAGGAATGGTCATTGAGTTTGTCCACAGTATATCATTTTGGTCATTCCGTGAAAAATTTGTCAATATCCTCGTTAGGTAGAGGAGTTGGATTGACAATAAGAGCCTTAAAAAGGTGGTCACGTTGTCGTTCATGTCACAATTTAACTAGAATATTGACAGATTTTTCACGAAATGATCAAAATGAGTTACGGTAGATAAATTTAGAGACCACTTTTATTGATTTTCATTGTTAATGACCAAAGTGAGAAATTATGTTAAACTCAAGACCATTTTGACTAAAACGCCATAAATAATTTGTATGTGAATAAATTGACCAAATAAAAATTGCATACATCCCGAAGGCCAACAAAATTAAGCTGATCAAATTTGAGCCCAAAATCCAGGTGAAATCAGAAAGCTCAACAAATTGGGCCCGAAGGCCCATTTTCGATCTTAAATCGAAATATTGAAATAATTTCAGTATTACCAAATTTCGAAAAATAAAAAACTAAAATTTCCATTTAGTTTTCAATATTGAAAATTCTTTTCCAAAGTCTTTCGGTTCAGTATTCTGATGGACCATTAGGGGTGGGCACGATTCAGTTCGGCCCGGTTCTACCTAAAATTGGAACCGGAACGAAAAAATATCAACGGTTGGTTCGGTGCGGTTCCATTTAAATTTATTAAAAAACTGTATGGTTCGATTGATGTTCCGTTTGGTTCATGCCGATTCACGGTTCCAAATAATAAATCATTTGAATCTTACTATGGTCTAGTGGTATTCCTTTTCACTTATAAGTGAGAGGTTTTAAGTTCGACTCTCACCAATGGTGAATTTGAACCACATTATTGCTAGCTCATTGGGAAGTTTAGCTCAGTCCTCCACCCCCTTAGTGTAAAAAAATAAAAAAAAAGTTAAAAGATTTTTATAGTAAAAGATAGCAATTGGATCACACAACGAAGAACTTGCATGACCAATCATAAGGAATGATGATCTATAATGCGAAAATTAACTTAACACACAAATTAAACCCTTTTGTATCAATTGTGGTAAAGAATGTAAGTAGGGATCGTTCTGGACCGGGGATTAGGAGGGCTTGCTAATAACCTCTAAACTGACTCAAAAACGTAAAACAAAGTTTAAAACACTAAGCTAGACTCAAAGAATGCAAAACTAAACTATAAAACACTAAAAACAACTCAAAAGACTTAAAATAGCACAAAACAAGCTAAAAGACTCAAATCTGCCACTAAGAGTGAAATTGGACGAAAATAGGTTTTAACTTGGTTCAAAACACTTAAAAACACAAATGAAATCACTTTCTAACTAATGTGACTCAACAAAGTAAAGGGGGATTTGGTTTTGATGAATTTGAAAACAAAACAAGTAAAGTAAGGAACTAGTGAAATCTAGACGAATTTGAGTAAAGTGAATGGATAAAAGGCTAGCTAGGAGGTTCTTCTCCACACATGTCACACTTGCATACAAAATGATTTCCAATTGCTTTTCAATAAACCATGAATTCCCAACGCCCCAGATTAACCGTGAATTGCACTAATTAACCCTCAGATTTTCCTAATTTCATTGAATTGGATGATTGCATACAACAACCCAAAGCATTCCCCACAAGTTCCCTACATGAATTGCATAATAGAGATACAAGAAAGAATCATTAAGTTCTATGAAAATCATAAGCATTGACGAAGCACTTGTAACTATGAATTGCATGAAACTTATGCCAAGAATTTACTTAACACGGTTGTGACGAGCAACCTTTACTACTTGTGAATATAAGTTCATAACAATTAGGTGAAACTCCCTTATATCCTCGCATCAGATTTATGCATGAAAATTAAGCGTGCACTCTCAACCAACATACACAAATCAGTTTTAATTCAAATGGATAAGTAAATTGAATTCACAACTTATGAATCACAACTGAAAGTAATCAAATCATATTGCAAGCATGAACATGGTTTCGAATTCCCCCCTAGCTAAGGGGGGTTTAGTTACTCATAATTGCAACAAAATCAGAAAATAACAAAGTAGACATTGAAAGCAAGAATGAAGTACACCTAAAACGCTCCAAAGTTTCAAGCTTGAAACGCCAAGGACCTTCGTTTTCACCACCTTGTTGCAACATAAGTGTCTAAGGATGTGTATGGATATATGGAAAGGTTATGAATGTATTTAGGATTGGTGAATGTCTCGGCCAAGGGAATGGAGTGTATGGAGTTGTGTTTTGAGATATATGGCAAATGGATGGATGAATGGATGAATGGATGGTGCTCACAGCCTAGGAATGAAAGTGTAAGTGTATGGAGTTGTGAGATGTGAATGTAGTGTCTTTGGATGGATTTTTTCTGATTCTTGTTATGGTGAAGGGTGGATGTATATATAGGCTAGGGAGAGGACCATCATCTAATTAAGGTGGTAGTGGTGTATGTTGTGGTAATGAATGGATGGAATGGGTGTAGTGGATGGATGTTTGGTAATGAGTGGATGTAATGGGTGTAGTGGATGAGTGTTTGGTAATGAGTGGATGTAATGGGTGTAGTGGATGGATGTTTGGTAATGAGTGGATGTTTGGTAATGAGTGGATGTAATGGGTGTAGTGGATGGATGTTTGGTAATGAGTGGATGTAATGGGTGTAGTGGATGAGTGTTTGGTAATGAGTGGATGTAATGGGTGTGTAGTGATGGATGTTTGGTAATGAGTGGATGTAATGGGTGTAGTGGATGAGTGTTTGGTAATGAGTGGATGTAATGGGTGTAGTGGGTGAGTGTTGTGGTAATGAGTGGATGTAATGGGTGTAGTGGATGGATGTTTGGTAATGAGTGGATGTAATGGGTGTAGTGGATGAGTATTTGGTAATGAGTGGATGTAATGGATGTAGTGGATGGATGTTTGTAGTTGTAGGTCAACACACTTGCACACACACATGTTGATTTCTAGCCTTCTAATATTCAAAAACGTCCATCCTCATGTCTCCATGCTTGCACTATCCAATCTTGGCCCAAAAATGCTCCAAAATGCTCCAAATAGCACTTAGTTGCCAACTTTGTTATTTGAACCTACAAACACACGAAAATAGCTTAAAGTACTAAAATAACTAGAATTAAACTAAGTAAATGCCAAGAAACAAGTAACTAAGTTGCATAAATATGCTCCTATCAAATTCCCCCACACTTA